GTTGAAATCATCACATAATTTAAAGCAAATTACTCCAGAGTTTATAAACGAGGTAAAAAATGAACATTTTCTAAAGTGAAAGTTTGCTTTATGTTTTCTGATACAATCGAATTTTTAAAAAAATATTCAGATTACTCTTAAGATACAAATGAATATTTCCAATGCATATACATGTACATGTACATGTACATGTATATTGATATCGAGTTTTAATAGTTTATCGTTATACATGTACTGTACATGTAATCAACAGTTTGTACATGTATCCTGGAAATATATTAATGTTGAAACCTCTAACTTACAAATTTCAACAAAGTAATAAATTAAGGAAATAAGAGCAATTTTCTGAAATATGGGAATACTTTCTGAAAAAAGTAATAAATTCATTTATTCGCCGAACATCTTCACAATGGCACGTGGCTGCACTCACACGTGCCACTGGGGAGATAATCGATATTTCATTCCTATCGTAAATACATATACATGTAGTACTTTGCACATGTATTTGTCACGATAAATAAATAATACATGTATTTAAAATCAGAAATTGATCGCTTTTTTGTTATCAGAAAGTTAACAATTTCTCTATAACGCTCTTATTTCAAGAGTGAATCTGGTTTTTTTAATATACGAATGACATTTCCCAAAATAAACTTCCTAAATATTAACATCGAGAATAACATTTCATCATATGAGAAAAAAAAGAAATGCAAGTCTTCAAGATCAGTTATCGATGGGAAAACCTGATACACGTATCAAACTATAACGAGAAATGATCTGTTAAACAAAAAATTTCCATGGAAAATGGGCTCAGCAGTGCATAACATTAATGATGTAAGCAAGGATTTTTATCTTCATCATATTAAGATTAAATAGATCGACCAAAAAAAACTTCGCATAATCAAAAGTATGTCTTTGTTTAAAGCGACTTGAAAAAGAAAAATCAGGTTCAAATAGCGAAGCCATCCAAAAATGAATTTTTTATGGAAATAATTAAGAGTGAAAACCTTTTTTTGTATTAGTGTTAGCTCTTGAAGCATGACTAATGATCATCAATTTAAAACTATAACAAAATATAAATATATATATATCATCTGTTACCTTTTTTTTTCCCTTAACTTTTATTTTCAATTCTTGCAAAATGGGTGAGCGTCAAAAAGAATTAGATAAAATACGACTCGCCTTGAGGCCCGGTCTTGGTACGATTGGACATCCCTTGCGCGTTAGGGCGAACTTTTTTGAAGTAACCTCCCTTCCGGTTAATAATATAATCCACTACGATGTGACGATTTCACCCGAGGTACCTCCTGCGTTGAATCGCAAGGTATTTGAGGAATTTGAAAAGGAAAATCGAGGTGGCGCCCTTGCTGGTATCCGACCAATTTTTGACGGTAAGTAGACGATACATAAAAAGGACAAACTCGAGAGAATTTTTGTGTAACAAATAACTGCATTTTATTGTTGATCTTTTTAGTTTCAAAGTGCAAGTTTTGTTTAATTTGTACCCACATTTTGTTAAGGTCGAAAAAATATCTTTGCACCTAGGCCGTTGCCTTTTGGTGAATCAACCGCGTTTAGAGTTAGTATTTGAATTCAAAGAAATTCATTATTTTAGTCGTGATGTACAAATATTTGATTTGACCGATATATCTTACTTACATGTATTGAATTGAATGAATTGCAGGTAAAACTCCCCGAGGATAAGATACCTACGGCAAGACGTACTGTACGTGAATTTACCATAAAGATCAAGAAAGTCGGAGAGATAATCATGGAAGAGCTTTATAACTTCCTACAAGGGAGGGGCCAGTTAACGAATAATTGTTTAACAGGTTAATTTAATAACTAACATTATTGTGAGATTCGTGTTAATATTCGGCTTTATTTTCTCAGCTTTTATCCATTAACCATCATTTAGCAATTATGGCACTTGATGTCCTCATTGGACATAACCCATCCATGCTATATGCAACTAAAGGCCGTTCATTTTTCATTCCTCAAGATTCCCGACCCTTGTTTGGAGGAGTAGAAGTATGGCAGGGTTATTATCAGTCTGCTCGCCCCACCACAGGTATCTTGTCAGCGACTTGAATGATTTCATAGAAATGCATCATTATCAATGGATCATCTTTATTATATCTTTGGTGAAATATAAAGGTAGAATGCAGATTAATATCGATGTCAGCGCCACAGCATTTTACGAAGGTGGCGAGTTAATAACGATCGTTGTTAAAGCTCTTAACAAGAGATCTCCAGATGATCTCCGCAGAGGACTCGACGATAGAGATCGAGTAAAACTTGAGAAGTTTTTAAAGAACCTAAAGGTTAGAGTCGTACATCGTGGCGACGCCGTTTCTATGCGTCGATATCGTATCAGGAGTATAACACCAAGGCCTGCAAATGAAGCGACATTTACGAATAGCGAAGGCGAGGTTGTGGACGTTGCAACCTACTTTCATCAAACGTACCACAGACCATTAAGTTTCCCGTATCTTCCGTGTGTGGTAGTTAATAAGGATATGTTTCTTCCCATGGAAGTATGCCAAGTTATTGAGGTATTGTTTTTAATGTGGCTATATTGTTTGCTTTTTCTGCTCGCTTAGCTTATTTAAGTAATTGATAACGATGATAATCATTAGGGACAACGCTATATGCGAAAGCTTAATGAGAAACAAACGGCCGACATGATCAAATTCACATGTACACAACCTAATATTCGTGCAAATAAGATTATACAGGGATATAATATTTTAAATTATCGTGAAAATGATCATATGAAGCAGTTTGGGATGAAAGTCTCGAACCAAATGACTGAAGTATATTATGATTTTGATTAAATATACATAAGCTTCTTTATTATTTTATTTATTTCTCTTAATCCTTTTTAGGTTTCAGCCAGAGTGCTTCCAGTGCCTACGGTTCAATATCACCCTTCCTCACGACCATCAAGCATTCAGCCAAAAGAGGGTGCTTGGAATCTTCGAGGCGTAAAGGTTGCAGTTGGAACAACCCTTGGCTCATGGGGTGTTTTGGTGTTTGCACCAAAGCACGTGATATCAGAAGAAAAAGTTATGCATTTCATCAAGGAACTTATAACGACATGTCAAGAAACTGGCATGGTAAAGTTTATTCCTTTGATTATCTGGGTTATGCAAATTCTTATTTATATCAATAATTTCATATTTATTGATTTTATTCCTACAAAATAGAATATTCCGAATCGTAATCCACCAATAAATCACGCTAATCCGCTAGGCGATATCGAAGGGTCGCTTAAAACCGCCTGGCTTAATGCTGGAAACCGCGCTAAGGCGCAACCCCAATTGATAATATGTATCTTACCGACCACTGATGTACAGCTTTATGGGAAAATTAAATATGTTAGTGATACGATTATAGGAGTCGCGACACAATGCATCCAGCAAAGACACATGATGAATCCCAAAAAACAATACTGTGCGAATGTGTGTCTTAAGATGAATGTGAAACTTGGCGGTATGAATTCATTTTTAAAGCCAGAAGATATTCCGTTCATTTCAGAGCGTCCCACCATTCTGATGGGTGCAGATGTTACTCATCCCGCGCCTGGTACTGAGAGTGGAAAGCCATCGATAGCATCTCTCTGTGCCTCCATGGATGCTAAAGCTTCTCGATATGCAGCTACAATACGACTGCAAAGGGCCAATGTGGAAATAATAGCAAATCTAGGTGATATGGTTAAAGAGTTGCTTAAAACATTTTATCAAACATGTGGTAGAAAACCTGAACGAATCTTATTCTACCGGGATGGTGTGTCTGAAAGTCAGTTCAGACAAGTATTATACGATGAAATGAATGCTGTCAAAGGTAAAAATCGAATATTAATCAACCCCTTTATTTATCGAGAATACAATGTTGATATCTTCTTTGACAATAGCGGCATGTCAATCCTTGGAGGTTGGTTACAATCCAACCATAACATTTGTTGTTGTACAAAGACGACATCACGTGAGATTCTTCCCGATGGAAAAAAAGGATTCTGATCGTTCTGGTAACTGCTTACCGGGTACCACAATCGATGACAATATTACTCATCCATTCGAATTTGACTTCTGTAAATATTTAATAATAAGTACAATGTTTGTAACATTCTACATAATAAATTATTGATTCTTTTATTAATTTTAGATTTGCAAAGTCACCCTGGTTTGCAAGGAACCTCCAAACCAACTCATTATTACGTTCTGTATGATGAAAACAGTTTCACTAGTGATTCGTAAGTATTGTTAATTTAGTTTTCAATGCTTAAAACTTTTTATTTATTAATGTAACTTGATTTTTTAGGTTACAATCTTTATCATATAATCTCTGTTATATATACGCTCGATGCACACGAGCCGTTTCTATAGTATGTGGAGAATAATTTTCACCATGTACATTATTAACCACCCTTAGATACATAAATTAACAATCTTCTCAATTTTTACTAGGTTCCCCCCGTCTATTATGCTGATTTGGTTTGTGCGAGAGCACGTTTTCATTCACGTGATCAACATTTGTCGGATACAGAATCATCCGAGGAAGGTACTGGAGCCCCTCCTACATATGGAACTGTGAATCCAGATCTTGCAAAGGTAATTAAAACGTCTTTTCGTTTATGCTTGACATTTATTATCATTTTGTTAAGCATTTATTTTTATAGGTTATGTATTTCATGTGAATGATACAACACATTATTACTATACTTAAAAAAGAATGGATAATTTGTATATAGGAAACATTTAATATTATCTTTGAAAAATTACTAAACTCAATTAAGGAATTAGTAAAAAAATATTCGTTTTAAACTAATTTATATAAATACTAATTGAATGGTTATAGAATATAATATTAATATATAAAATATTTTTTTTAATTTTAAAAAAATCAAATGGACAAATTAAAACTGAATAAATTAAAGTTACAAAGTGATAAATTCAAATTCAAACTGAATTAAATTAAAATCAAAATGATAATAATTGAAATTAAATTAAAAAATTAGAATTAAATTAATAAAATACTTGAATTTATTATTAATTAAATTATTTTTAAATAAAATAAAGCTTTTATATTAAAAGTTTATAATTAAATTTATTATTATTTTGATATAATATATAATTTTATTAAGTTTTTTATATTATATAAAAATAATTTATAACTTATAGTAATGATCAAAAGTAATGACTCAGAGGCTAAATTTATTAATAAAATATAATAAAAATTGAAATTTTCTTTTCATATTAAAATTTATAATTTTATTAAGAAATAATTTTTATTTTTATATTAAAATAAAGTTTATCAGTTATAATTTAACATATATTTTTTTCAGATTTTTT